TGGAGGACCGCTCGGTCGAGAGGAACTCGAGGAGACGAGTCGCGTATGCGAATCGACAGTGGAATGTCGCGTGTGAGAAGAAGAAGGCGAGTCATCTCATGCGCGAATGGCAGAGGAGACGCGGGAGCTAGGGCTTATTCGCGAATGACAGAGGAGATGCGGGAGTTAGGGCACGAGCGACGAGCCAGGCTTCGATTGAGCGAATGGAGTGTTCTAATCGGGTTTAAGCAAGCGGGTGAGAACCTAAATAAGGTTAGGTTAAATATGAATATGATTTAAGGAAATATTTAATATTTTGAAAAATAAAATTTTAATTTGTGTTTCACCCACGCACCAAAACATAGCAAAAATTGATATCATTTTTAGATAATTTTGAAGTTCCGGACGCGTTGGAGAGGTTCGTTTCGCCACCGGAAGTCGTTTTGACGAATTCATCGATTTGCGTGCCAATTTTCTCGTGTCTAAAATATGGCAATATAGGTGTCCCGGACGCGTTGGCGCAGTCCAATTTGTCGTCAGAGGTCATCCAGAGAAGTTTGCATTTTCACCCGTCCTTTGGGCTTAATTGAAGTCCGATTTCGTGCAATTTCGTAAACTTTCTGTATTTGATGTGTGTATGTGACGAAAAGGTCGTGACGATGTTTTCCTAGCAATATGGGTGTCCTTTCCTACCAAAATTGATATCCCGGACGCGTTGGCGCAGTCCAATTTGTCGTCAGAGGTCATCCAGAGAAGTTTGCATTTTCACCCGTCCTTTGGGCTTAATTGAAGTCCGATTTCGTGCAATTTCGTAAACTTTCTGTATTTGATGTGTGTATGTGACGAAAAGGTCGTGACGATGTTTTCCTAAGGCTTGAAGTCCTATCAGAAACTTTTTTCTTGAGTCTTCGCAAAATAACCCATAATTGCTCGTTCATAAGACGATGGTCTTATCCCAAGGGTGGAAAGTCTGTAGGACCTGATGATATCTCAATTGAAGTGTGGAAATATTTGGGAGATTTGGGAGTTTCTTGGCTTACTAAACTCTTTAATATTATTTTAAAAACTAAAAAGATGCCTGAGGAGTGGAAGAAGATTATTTTGGTCCCTATTTTTAAGAATGAAGGGGATGCACAAGAGTGTGCAAATTATAGAGGAATTAAGTTGATGTGTCATACTTTAAAATTATGGGAGAGGGTAATTGAACATAGGGTAAGACGCATCACACAAATTTCTCATAATCAATTTGGATTTATGCCTGGCAGGTCTACTATGGAAGTTATACATTTATTGAGAGGTTTGATGGAGAAGTTCAGAGATAATAAGGAGAATCTACATTTGATTTTTATTGATTTAGAAAAAGCTTACGATAAGGTTCCAAGAGATATCCTTTGGAGAGTTCTCGAGAAGAAATGTGTTGATATGACTTATATTCAAGTCATTAAAGATATGTATACTAGAGCTGTTACTTGTGTTCAAACTGAAGGAGGATTGACCAAATATTTTCCTATTTCTGTTGGATTACATCAGGGATCAACTTTAAGCACATATCTTTTTTGCTTTAGTTATGGATGGTCTTACTGGACATCTACAGGAGGATGTATTTTGGTGTATGCTTTTTGCTGATGATATCCTTCTCGTGGATAAAATGAGAGAAAAAATCCAGAAAAAACTTGAATGATGGAGGTCTACATTGGAGTCTAAAGGCTTTCATTTAAGTAGAACTAAAACTGAATACATGGAATGTAATTTTAGTAGTAATAGCTATAGTGACAGAAGTGTGACTTTGGGTGATCAAATTATTAAAAGGTGTGAACGATTTAGATATCTTGGGTCCGTTGTTCAAAGCGATGGTGATATAGATGAGGATGTTAATAGTAGAATTCAAGCTGGTTGGTTGAAGTGGAGGAATGCTTCGGGCCTTTTGTGTGATAGAAAAAGTATCGCTTAGACTGAAAGTAAAATTTTATAAGACGGTGGTGAGATCTGCAATGCTATATGGCGCTGAATGTTGGCCGTTAAAAGAGAAGCATAATAATAAGTTAAGTGTTGCTGAGATGAGAATGATTAGGTGGATGAGTGGCTTTACACCTAGAGATAAAATGCGAAATGAATATATCTGTGACAGGGTTGGTGTAGCTCCTGTGACAGACAAAATTAGAGAAAGTCGTCTTAGATGGTTTGGTCACATTAAACGTCGACCATCTGATGATCCGATTAGGAGAGTAGATGTTTTAGATTCGACTTGTGTTAAGAAAGTCAGAGGTAGACCTAGGAAAACTTGGGCTTATTGTATTAAAAATGACCTTAATTTACTAGAACTGAATGAAAATATGACACTAAATATGACGCAATGGAGAAAAAGGATTCAGGTAGCCGAACCCGCGCAGTGGGATTAAGGCTTTGTTGTTGTTGTTGTTGTTGTTGACTCTTGGATCATTTTTTGGGTCAGTGTTGGCTGGAAGGCTATGCTTCCATGATAATCAACATAATACCTCCCATTTTACCTTTGAAAGTATGATATTAAAAAAAAAAAAGGAAATTTACATACATACAACAAATCTAGTTGATATTTACATTTATAACACCTTGGTGCTATAAACCTAATGCGTAAAATGGTGTGTTTGACTTTTAACAAGTTAGTAAAAGTGGTCTTTTTGATGTGATATTAAAGCTCTAATGCTATGAATGTAAATATTAACGTTTAGGTTTTAGATATGTAAATACACAATAATTGTGTGATATGTGTGTAAATGCCCCCCAAAAAATGGATCAAATGTTTCTCCATTACCAGAAGTTAATTTTTATTCTTTCTTGCATTTAAAAGCCTGCAATCTAAATAATTGTTTTTCCTAGTATCTCCTCGCTCATTCTTTTTGTTTTTGCACAGCTGGATCGGCTACAAAAAAGAGAAAATTTAGCGCTAACGATCCAATGAAGTCACCAAATCATGTACGAATGCCTCCAGAACTTCTGATTCACATCGATGTGCCCTTGGATGTCATAAAATCTTTCTATTTACTACCTTCCTTGATGTATCGAATGGAATCCCTGATGTTGGCTGGCCAGTTAAGAAAGGAAATTGGCTACCATTCTGCTTGTTCTTCTGTATCAAGTGCTTTGGTATACCATCTGCTTACTGATATGATTTTATATGCTGTTTAATAATAAAATTTAGAGAAATTTACATGCATATCACACAATTCTTATGTATTTTTACATATCTAACACCCAAACTTCAATATTTGCATGCATAGAACTCAAATTTTTAATATCCCATTAAAAATGCCACCATCACCTACTTTTAAATAGTTAAATACACTTCTTCATACCTAAGGTTTTTCACAACAAACTGCTATAAATGTAAGTTCAGATGGTGGATATGTAAATATAAAAGAATTGTGTTGTAGGTAGTTAAATTTCCCTAAAATTTAATTTCTTTATTATTTCATTGGGAAGTCACCAGGGCTCTTTTTGAACAGATCTTGGAAGCCATCACCACATTAAGAAGCTGCGAGGAATTCTCCCTGGAGCGTCTTGAACTACTAGGGGACTCCGTGCTGAAATATGCAGTGAGCTGCCATCTTTTTCTAAAATACCCCGATAACCACGAAGGTCAATTATCCGCTCGCAGATCGCAGTTAGTTTGTAATGCCACTCTTCATAAATTTGCCGTGCAACGGAATTTGCAGGTGTGTTCCATCTCCTATGATCTATACAAACAAGGGGCATTTACGTACACGTCACCCAGTTCCTATGCATTTGCATATCTAACGCCAAAACTTTATTTTTTACATTTCTGCCAGCCAAATCTTTCATTTCACATAAAAAAACACAACCATTTTTACTTTTAAAAAGTGAAATACACCTTTGCATGCATAGCTAAAGGTGGTATATGCATGTAAAAGTTGAAGATTTGGTGTTAAATATGTAAATGAATACCAATTGAGTGGAATGGCATGAATGTAAATATTCCAACAAACAAATGATTTATGAAGATATTATTGTATGTCTCTATTTACATAAATAGTGAGGGAGTGAATTATTTTGATCTTACATTTAAATGTCATTGTATCATCAAAACTAAATGAAAGAATATATTTTATGTCAGTGAATTGGAAGAATCAGATACACGCCACTTAATTCCTATGTATTTACATATCTAACTCGTAAACTTCAATTTTTATGTATATGGCATCATATCTATTCATTGAAAGGTGTCTTTCATTTTTTTAAAAAAAGTTAAAATAGTGATCTTTTTTATGTGATATGAAAGATTTGGGTGTTATAAGTATAAAAAGTAAAATTTAGGTGTTATATACATAAATACATAAGAATTGGGTGGTTGTATGTAAATGCCCATCTATTTATAGTTCTTGGTAGTTATCGTTGCAGCATTATTTTCTACTTGGGAGTCCTTTTCTGGTAATTTTTTGAGATTTTGAAGAGACTTTTTTTGTCTTGCTCACAGAGTTACATACGTGACGCCCCATTTGATCCACGCCGCTGGGTGGTTCCCGGTCAAATCTCTCTTCATCCTGTTCCATGTAAATGTGGAGTTGATACACTGGATGTGCCATTGGATGGGCAACATGTATCCGAGGATAAATCTATCGTGATCGGGAAGGCTTGCGATAGAGGGCATAGGTGGATATGCTCCAAAACCATATCCGATTGCGCTGAAGCGCTTATTGGAGCATACTATGTCGGAGGTGGACTGAGTGCAGCCCTCGCCGTAATGAAATGGTTAGGCGCTGGAATTACTCTGGAGCTCGAAATGGTGGAAGACACAATAAGATCTCTCTCTCTAAAAAGCCAGTTAACCAAACTCGATGAGATCGAAATACTAGAAAAGAAGGTTGGGTATGAATTCAAAACCAAACACCTTTTACTCGAGGCCATAACTCATGCTTCCCATCTCGAGTTAGGAGGCATCTTCTGCTACCAGCGGCTCGAGTTTCTTGGAGACTCCGTGTTGGACATCCTTATTACGTGGCATCTCTTTCAGCAACATAAAAATGTCGATCCTGGAGAGTTAACGGACTTGAGATCCGCTTTGGTCAACAATGACAACTTCGCTCAAGTCGCGGTGAAGCATAAGTTTCAAGTTCATCTTCTTCATGGTTCTGGATTACTTTTAGAACAAATCACAGAATATGTAAAGCTTTATGATGAAGCGAGAAAGGATGAGCAAACATCTTCTCAAAATAATTTGCTCAAGGCTCCCAAGGTAAGTGCTTCAGACATCTTTTGCGGTTCTGTTTTCTTTTGGATGTGCTTGTAATAAATTTTGTTGTGATGCAGGTCCTTGGGGACATCGTTGAGAGTATTGCTGGTGCCATCCTGATTGATTCCAAGCTTGATTTGGATAAAGTATGGGGGATTTTTGAACCTCTACTTTCGCCGATCGTAACGCCGGAGAGTCTCGAGTTGCCTCCGTTTCGAGAATTATTGGAATTATGTAGTTGTTCCGGCTATTTCTTAAATGTTTCGTGCATCGATGAAGAAGATATGGTGCTTGCTGTGCTCGATGTACAACTGAAGGACGTTTTGTTGGTCAGACGAGCACGCGATAAGAATAGAAAAGCTGCCAAGGGAAAAGCAGCGCTTCTGTTACTGAAAGACATGGAGGTTTATCTTCTCAGCATAGTTTTTAGTGTTGACTAAATTGTTAAAATAGTCCCCTGACAGTTTCTATGAGGTAATTTTAGTCCCAAGAGTTTGTAAGAGTGTCAAATTTGGCCCTATGCTTAAATTTGAGCTCATATTATAAAAGTTTTATACTCTGGGACTAAATGATCACTTGCAAAAAGTCAGCAGACTATTTTGATACTTTTCTCTTTAGCATTTAACATGCTAAATTAATAAAAGGTTGGGCAAAATAATCACAATTCATTACTTATGCCCCATGTGAAATCACTTTTGTTTTCTGTTTTCAATTTTTTATTTTTATTTTATTTTGTTTATCTTATGATTTGAATTAAAACATATTTGGTTGTGGTAATTATTAAAAAAAAGAACTAAAATCATCTTTAAGGTGTTTAAAAAAATAAAAAATAAAAACATATGAAAATTATATTAACTAAACTTGTCTTCAAAATTAAAAGTAAAAACAAAAACAAAAACAGAAAATAAAAATAATGTCAAAACTGTTGATAGTTTTGATCCTCTTTATGGTCATATTGTCATAAAGCTCTGTTCTTGGACCTTTGCTCATTGTATTGTGGGATAATGCTATGTTACAGGAACGAGGATTCTCGCATTCCCGACATGGTTCCAAGGGTGGTCAAGATGGAGGACAAGTTCTCCATGTGAAGCAGTCTGTTAAGAATTTGGACTTCCATGCGCCAGTAGAAGATTGTGAGTTTACTCAGCCGATGAAGCTAACGGAGGATGTGGGTGTTGCTCTACTGCTGAATGATAATGGGCGTAGTCCACCAGGTAAGTTGCTCATATGTAAAACTTATTTCACTACTTTATCCACATATGCTGTTTTGATCCATTATTTAGATGTAATAGTGATCAAGTGGTTTTCATTAATTCTTACTGTTTTATGTCTGGTACCGAGCTATGTCGAGCTGCCTTGAAACTTATCTTTCTTCTCTAGCCATCAATATCTTCTCCGGTGAGCTCCCATGATAATTTGACTTTTGGCTCAAGTTCGTGAGCTGGCTGTCATGACCGCGAGCCGATCTCGAGCTTGCATTTTGACAGACGAGTCGAGCTAAGTTAGTCATGCCTTGAGCTCGGCACGACTCGATTATTCCCCTATCATGATTTATGTTTATAATGTGCAAAATTCTTTCAGAATTCCATCAAAATATCCATTTTTCTCCACTTCTAGCATGATTGTCTTCACACCATCTTCATCACATGATTTTCATAATCTGACCTCCATTAATAGAGCTTTTAAAACTTGTTAGCAGTGGATCTACCAGTCAAACTTACAAAGGGTGGACCCCGCGCCGCAATTTATAACCTTTGCAAGCGTTTTCATTGGCCAATACCTAGCTTCGACTCCAAACTCGGTAGATCAAGGTCGTGTAACACATCCGGCTTCCACCTTCCCTCTCTTCATCTTTCACTCTCTCTCTAAAACATTTTATATGATTGATTTGTTGGCCACCTTGCAGTAGTGATGATGGGAAGAAAGGGGCTTTTAGCTTCATTTCGAGTATCACAATGCATTTTCCTGATTCAAGCTTCCTCAAGCTGACAGGAGAGAGCAGATCAGATAAGAAGAGTTCGCTGGATTCAGCTGCGCTACTTATGCTCTATGAGCTGGAGAGGCTTGGGCGATGTAAAATACAGGAAGTATGATGGGTAGATTGGGAATTTTAGAAGGAAGAAAAATATAATAAAAATGAAAGATTGGGAATTAGATGCAGTGAAATCCATTGTTTTATTTCTGGTCATTTTTATTGTGACTTTTTGCAAGCATTGATTGATAGGGTAGTAATGTAAACTGATTTTGCATTTTCAAGAAATGAAAGTCATTAATAGCCTTCTCTTTTCTTCTCTTCTCCTTGGAGTTGGTCGGTACTAGCCGAACACGAGCGAGCCATGCTTAGCTCGTGTTCGGCTCCGTTATTTTTCTAGCT